AGGGAAGGAGTGGCCTCCACTCGCTTGAAAGGAAAATCCTGAAATACAAAACGATTTCGGTTTTGTCTGATTTAACATTCACCCTACTGTTCTTGTAACAGTTTCCAATAGTTCACGTCTTCCTGAAGTATTACTATTAAGGCAATGACATCAGCCGCAAATACCGCAGCTTAGTTTTCGAACCAGCGTTGTTGCGGTGATATACGGCAGGTGTGAGGATGCCACCCTTAGGGTTGCCTCTCATTGTGTTGTGTGCCTGGTGATACTGGCACGGGCTTTTCGTGCGATGAGCATGTTTCTTTGGAGAAACTGTGCAATATTCATTGTGGGTTATTGGACACACATTTCTACAAAGGACTCCACGACGAATTCAGGTAAAATGTGGTTAAGATCCGCCTCTATGTAGGGTAAGAAAGAAAGAAAGAAGTAAGTTTTTTTCTGATGAACTTGAGTAAATAATGTTGTGCTATAACTAAAGAGTGGACTTCAGAGCATGCGTGCTCTTGAGAGACTGTTGAGTAGCTTTTCGTAAGTATAAATATTTTTATAGGAAAGCGGTTGGACTGATGCATTTGGAGATTGTTGGCTCTGCCTCCTTTTGGTATAAATATTGCTTTAGCTTTACTCCATGCTTGTGAAATAGATCTCTCCCGCTGAAAGGCTTCGTATATTTTGCATAGAAGTGGGGACATGTTATCCTCATTTAGCTTTAGTACCGTGGGGCAGGTATACAATCAAAGTTTAACTGCTAAAATATAATAAATTCACGAGACAAATAAATTACAATTTCAAGAAGACGTCAACAATGAAATGCCCATTGAAAGTGGCTAAGAAAGTGAAAGCAAAACAAGAAAAATTAAACAAATAAAAACAATGAAAAATAAAAAAATGGAAAGAGCAAGTAAAAAGCGCGCCTGGAAACTGTGAGTTTGAGAAACTGTTGTGAAAAAAAATAAAATAAAATAAAAGAAAAATAAAATGAAAAATAAGCGCTGAACAAAAGTTGTACGTACATAAAAAAATATAAAAAAAAAATAAAAAAAATAAACAAATAAAAAAATATGGAAAAAATACGTGAAGTTGAAAATATGGAATTACACGAGAAGCACAACTGAAGTGAAGCGAAAAGACAGCTCAGCCAGCAGACATCGGCTAGGCTCTGTGTCCACAGCAGTCTGTAATTTGTGCAGCCAGAAGTGGACAATAAAAAAATGGTTAGAGCAAGATAAAATGAATGTCTGTAGCCTGCGGAAAAGTTCAAATTATATACTTAAGTGGTTGAAAACAGCATAAAGACGTGGAAAACAAATAAAAAGGTCAATGGGCCATGAGCTGTAAGTAATATTTGTATGGCAATGTAGGACAAGCGACACTGAAAATCAAATAAAAGAAAATAAAAATTAAAACCACAAAAAAAAAAAATTAAAAAAAAAATTAGTGGTACAATAAGCAGTTATAAAAATCATAACATAAAAAACATTCTTTGGTTATAAGAGAAATGGCGTAAGACAGAAATAACTTTTTTAATGAGATTTGTTAGTTTTGCCTGATTATGTAATGAGTGAGAAAGGAGTATTGCATAACAGCATGCATTTGATGAACTGAGTTTGGGAACATCATAGCAAAATTACATTAAAAATTTGAAAGAAAAAAAAAAATATACTGAAGGTAAAGCGAGCGAGGCGCAGTTAGCATGCAGTCGTTTTAACCCCCTGCGGGTTAGGGGCTCAAGAATTTACCCGCGGTAGGGCATGCCTGTCGTAAGAGGCGACTAAAATCCAATAGTTCCCGAGACAGTCGGGTCTTTATACCGGAACGACCCGGATTTTAATCCAGCTAAGGACTGTCACTCCCGCAACATTCCCCAAAAAGTACTTTGGGGAATAATTTTGCGGTTACAACAACAACAACAACAGTCGTTTTAATAAGCTTTACTAATTAATTTATTTCTTTTAAATGGGGAAATTGATTAAATTTTACCTTTTTCTTTCACAAATAGAAATTTCTCATAAAAAAAAGAGAGACCAAACTAAATATGACTCTTAACAATATCTAACATACGCGCTGGTCAAAAAGTCAGCTACAACACTTTAATAGCGCTCTTTTTAAAAAAGGAAATCACTAATTGGACTGACTTTTAATATTTTGATTACTTCATCAAAAAAAAAATCCGTAGACAAAAATCAAAATATTTCTGCCCATTTCTATTTTTTTTTAATTTTTTTTTTTTAAATATACACAATATATCTATATCTATGCCAGCATGCAAATCGCTCATAAAATGCTACAAATCGCCTCTTCTTTGTCGTGTTTGAAAGCAAGGAAATTCGCTCCTTAGTGCATTGTGGAGAGCGGAGTTTTTCCCTTTTTGGCTTTTGCGTCATCAATTTCGCACTACACAAACACACAAGCACAGAAGTTTGCGGTCAGCACGGCGTATACGTAATCAACCAATTTGAGCATTTTATTTGGTCGTTCGCTCGCAAATTGTGGGTTTACCCTCTTCCGGTTGCCTGTCGAGTTAATGGCAGATGATTTACGTGTCTACCTTTTTTATTTAAATTTTTGTTATCTCTTTTTTTTGCACTCAGTGTAGGTGATGTGGGGTTTTAGCTAGTTGAGCTATTCAAATGTGATGGCAAAGGACTAAAATAGTCTCTCAAATATATGCAATGCAATACAAGATTTTCATGAGCTTATTGTTATGTATATAAAAGCCCAGCGTAATTTGTGAGCCATATCAATGTGGACTAAGGCTTAGTCTAAAACGTCACATAGTGCAAAGGATCCGACTTTTAATGGTACCAAAAGCAGTCGCCTCTCAGCATCAACATTAGACGCCAATTAAAAAGTATAGCCTTCTCTCGACGTACATATACTAAACTGTACAAGCCGCTCAGCATTCCCAACCTTCTAAATAGTTGAGAGGTCCACCACAAACGATGAAACGTGCTAGGAGATGGTGTCTACACCTGCACTCTATTGGATTGGGGTCTACGCCTGTGGAAACAGGTGAAAACCTGCACTCTATTGGTGAAATGGGTGCTGTTGTAGTCTTCTATCTGCGACGAACTATGAAAAAGGCTACATGCCATGATATCACAAACCGCCTTATTTGCCAGATATGCCACCCTGTAAATATTTTTGTTCCCTAGCACGAAATCGGTGGTCAAAACAACACATTTTGAGTCGATTGAGGACATCCAGGCGGCCGTGACGAGGGTACTCGAGATATCCCAGTCAATCAAATGTTACTCCGCATGAAAAACGCACTGGAATCGTTGTACAGCTGCCCAAGGGAACTACTTTGAAGGAGATGGCAGAGTTGTAGATTAATTTTGAAATACACGGTGTTTATGCAATCAGTCTCATTACTTAATTGTCACACCTCATACTGTTCGGTGGAGTTTTCCACTTTGTTTTCTTAGTAGAATCCAGTTTAGCGATTTAAAAGCGGAGTTAGCTGTGATCTGAGAAAAGTTAGATTTATTGCTTGGCATTGTCTTTCGTGTAGGGAATATGATCACTCGTTCTGAAAGGGTACTTAATGGAGTGGCCGTCCTCAATTAAATAGCAGAGGATAATAAATGAACTCCTCAAACCTGCCTTTAGACTTAATACTGATGTTTACCAAATGGACTCAGCTTACGCTGGCATAATACTAGAATGAAAAGGTTACCTTTTTTATTTTATGTATGGTTAGTATAAGTTTGGAGGGTTTTCTCTAGTTTGTATTTTTCTAGCTTTTGCTTTTATTGCCTCAGACTGACCACTATAGTAGAAAAATCCTTGTAGTAAAGACAAAATTTTCCCCGGCGTTTTGCCATCATGTTTTCTTGGGGCTGGTGATGAAGAAGTGTCTCAGTGCGTTTCTCTCCTTCATAGATAATCTCGGGATATTTGCTTCGAAAAAGAGCATGGTTACCATCAAATATCTGTGTACTGCCGATGAATCGTAGAAAAATCGATCGATATCTAAAACGGATGGTGATTGAAGCTGAAACAGTGTTCACTTACAGCAAGTTTAAATGAAAATGTTAGTGGCCGAAGTACAGGGCATCGGTACGAATCGTCTTGAAGCTGGAATTGATGGTCAGGAGGGTATTGTTGTGTGCTTGATGAAGTTGTTTATATGGGCATATATCATGCACTGCTCCCTCATGGCTAAACTCTTAATTCGGACCGTCGCAATTCTTCTCCTGTTGATCAATGCAGGAGAATTGTACTTCATCACAGTGACTCGCCGGAAGTTCGGAGAGCTTGGTTAGAAGGTTCTTATGCATCCACCTTATAGTCCGTAGCCCGAACCAAATGATTACGTGATAACATCCGAGGTATCTCCAAGCTAAGTATTTTTAATTTAGCTCGCCCTGATGGCGTAAAACGTATATCTGGTTTGGTATATGAAGAAACTCGTAGTGTCTTAAAAGTGTTTTTGGAGTATATCATTAGCGATGAAGTCACATATATACCGAAAATGCTAAGGGGATTACCGTCACAAAACTGGATGTTGTAAATGCTTTAAAAGGACGAGGCTACTTTATATCGTTGCGGCAGCTAAACAATTTCTGATTTTATTTCGCAAATATAAGATCAAATGAGGAAAAGGACAATGAGTTGGTTAGTGAAGACAAGGGTTTCAAGCGCAGCCAGTAAAAATCGTTTGAGCCAATTTTTGCCAATAAAGACAAGGTTTCTAGGAGAGAGCCACAATGATATTACCTGCAAAATGACACAAGTCCGTTAGTTTTAGTTAAGGCAAATTAAGCCTTCAATTGAATGCAAAAATAATGGATTACTTTTTATTAGACCATAAATCTTTTTTTTTTTCAGAGATTAAGTCCCAGCTTACTGTTGTTTGTGTTATTGTATTGATTTATATTTAAAAAAAAAAAATATTCAAAAAATAATTCCCCACACCTTGCATTGTAATTTTATAATTAAAATTTATAACAGCAAAAATAAATGACTTAAAATTTTTCATTATCATATTATTACAGCGGACGACAAAAACAACTGCACAAATTAAACAGAAGAATGCACAACACATTAACAATGTAATAGTGTCAACAAAGGCAACAACAACAACAGCAGCAACAACAACAACAACAACAACAACAACAAGAATCACAACAACAACTCAAACCGAGCAAATGTCAAGCGGCGCCAAGTCAAAGATGCTTCTGCCAAATGTTGTTGTAAGCAGTGACTGCGAAACAACAAAAAATTACAACAACAACACCAACGAATAAAACGACGAGAGAAACGGCGACAGTAAAAGCAACAGCACCACCACCATCAACAACAACAACAATAACAATAACAACAACAAAAACAACAGTAACAACAACAACGACAACAACAACAACAGCAACAACAACAACAACCACAGTGACGACGACTAAAGCGACAAAAGCAACAACTCCAATAGTAACAACAACAGCAGCTAGCAATATAAAGCCAAAAGCTATAACAACAACATCTACTGTGTTTACGAAATTAAACAATCAAGATAATCACAACGAGTATGTAGCTTGCGCTCTTAACGGTAATGCGCGACAACATTTACGGCACACAATGCGTGGAAATTTTAATCAACGAAATGAGCGACGGGGCAACAGCGACGAATGGCACAACGGCCTGTGTAAAAATAAGAGCAACAAAACTATAAACAATTGTTGTTGTGCTGACGAAGAGCAACATAAGCAAAAACAACAAAGACTATTGAGACCAAATCTGGTGATGAACTATATGAACAACATGCAATCAGTAGCGACACCAACAACAATAACAACTAGTAAAAGCATGTTGTGCGTTAAAAATACACTCACCCACAGCAGTGGCAATAATAACAATAACAACAAGCGCATTTTAAATGACAATAACTCATGTTGCCGCACTGATAACAACATTAAATGGAATTATGAGTGCCCGGTCAACGAGAGTGATAATGGAAAATCAACGCACACACACAAGCACACACCTACAGCAGCGTGCAGCAGGCTTGCCACAACCAAGTTGGTCACACTTCCAACGACAGCGGCGGCGCCAAGCTCAACATGCAGTTCATTGTTGTCTGCAGTGCTTGATAGGCAGGCAGATGTAACAACTACAACAACACATACAACCACACACAGCAGCGCATGTTTGCCACCAACAACGACTGCTGACACTCTACCAGCTTTGCAGTGCATATCCGGCATAAAAATGGCGAGCAAAAGTTTTCTTTCTGCCCCGAGTCGCGTGGCAGCACCTGGGGATGAACACTCAGCAGCGCCACGTGACACTGGCAACCCCAAATCTGACAACAAAGTGCTACATATCAGTGCTAGTTCCAGCGCTCTTAGCTGTGGCAGACGGAGAGGTGGCAGAAAGAGAAAGCATTGCAAGCGGAAGCGCCAGCAGCCTACGCCAACCGGCGGCACACGAAAATCGCAGGCAACGCACGAAATGAGCACAAAAACAAAAGCAAAAGCAAATACAAAAACAACGAAATCAACATTCAACGCCAGCATACTGACGTCATTCCTGCTGAATTCCGCATTTTTGGCGCTTTGCAATGCCACCGCAGCCACGACGCTCTCCGCAATGGCGGCATTACTTGGTGGCGATGCAGTGGGCGGTAGTTTGGCCATGAGTGAGCCACAGTCAGCCACCACCGCGGCCAACAGTTTTTGGTACGAAATGGCAAATGCTAGTTTTAGCAGCAACAACAACTACAACAACAGCGGCAGTGTCAGCAGCAGCAGCAATGAAATGGTGACGCTCAATGGCGGCACGTCTGATGTTGACTACAATGACAGCGACAATTTGACGGCGGTAAAGAATCGTGAATACATCTTCGATCGCACAGATGTGCGCATCATTTTCGTTCCACTCTATATCCTGGTGTTTTGTTGCTGCTTTTTTGGTGAGTAAGCGAAATTTAATTAATTTTTGGAAGTTTAGTGCTCATTGGTCACTTGAAACTCGATTCGATTTGGAAAAGAACATTGCGGAATGAAAAATATTTAGTCTTCAGGCGTTGGGAGTTGTCTTTCTTCGCCTCTTGAACAACTAGAAAACTCGCTGAGTATCACCGCTGTATCTTGTTTCTGAGTAATTCCACCACCACTAAACTAAAGAGACCCCGGAAGCATCTGAATTATGAAAGACTCGGTTTGCTTTGTGGTCTTTTCAGGTTTCAGTTCATACTGCGGCAAACACATGAACCCTCTTTGACAACGTCACCCTGCACAGTTCCACAAAGAGTTCATTACGAAGCGGGCTTTGGCTTGCAAGGAGAGTTTCGGCCACTCAGTTGGCTCGCCTTACTTCAACGTCGAAAATACCCCAGAATGCTACGAAGGCGGCCGCGGTAGCCGAGTGGTTAGCATTGCGCACTGCCGTTCTCAAGGTTAGGGTTCACGTCCTGGTCCGATCAAAATCTAAAAGTTATTCAAATTTAATTTAAATCAAAAAGTTATTTTTCTTATTGGGATCGTCCCTCGTCAGGGCGTGTCAACCACATCGAGTGTACTTGCTATATGAAATAACGGTTTCTCATAAAAAATCCATAAGCCGTTCGGAGGCGACTTGACCTACATTGCAGGTGGCTCCTTTCTTGGAAAAACATCAGGACGCATACCGCAAATTGAAGGAAGAGCTCGGCCGAAACGCTTCAGAAGAGATCCGAAAGTGGCCGGAGGTAACTCCACTCATTACCGGGTCGATGATTTCTATATTTGTAAGCATATCGCCTTTCTGTTTCTGGCAGTTAAGGATTGTAAATCTTGAGTGACCAAAGAAATGTCAGAGAGTTCGCCTCGCTGTCAGATTAAATCTCAACCTACTTAGCTAATGCCTCTGTACTTGGAGCGACCTAGCTTTTGCCTGCTTTGATAAAAACCTCCCTCAACTTAGTAAGCTCTTCATGCACATTCGTTTCGGCCTCTCGTTATTTCTGCCCACAAAAGCTTGTGACTTTCCTTTTCAACTCTCGTTTTGATATGAGATATTCGGAGCGTGTATATCCAGCATTGGAGACCATTGTGTTGTGCCGCTGATAGTCGTAAAGGTAGTTATACGCAGAACCTTTGCCCGGTGAAGTTTACAAACCTCAATCAATATGCACGTGCTCGTCTCGCCCTGGAGACTGCATTTTTCAACTTTTGTGTCAAGGATTGTGTTGAAATTAGTATGCACAAGGTTAATATTTCAACTGCTCAAAGTGCCATTAGCCTCTTGGGGGCTTGATATCAGTTTAATGAGGATTTAAGCAAGACTTTTGTCCCCCGAGACGGCATAGACTCACGCCTAATCCAAATTCAAAACCAAATTTGAACTCCTTTGCTAGTCTGCTCGAGCATATTTTACATACTTCAAAAGTACCTAACCCCTTCCACCGGTTTCCTATGCACCGCATCTCTGGCACCCTGGAGAAGTACGCTTTAATGCCAACGAGAAAACTATTGAACTGGACAGCGATCACAAATTCTAATTACAGAGTCCTTAATACGCGCTTGACCGTCATCAAAATTATAACCTTTAACCCAGTCTAATACTAAGTGTGGTATTTGTGTGATGTCTCCCAAAGGCAGTTCATAACTTCCTTCGAGGGACGCTTATATAGCCTCGCTTGTAGCTGTGATAAGGCTTCATAACCAAAGCCTTCTCACGCTTTGTTCCCACTTACCACACAAAGGTTGCTCACATTAGAGCTAAAATATGTGAAAAACCCTCATTTAACTCTGGAAGACTATTTATGCCCAAAAAGGGTAAACATAAACATAAATAAAAATAAATTGCCAAACAAATTGCGGCAAATGTTGGAAGTGATCCTTCTTCGTTACTTTCTCTACGCAGCGCATTTCCATTTGAGCTTCTGGCAGTGCGAACTGTAATGAACTGTGCTGAGTTCACCAGCTCAAAATGCTGTAATTATAGCTGTGTGCGTAGGTGTAATTGAGTGTTGAAAGCTTGCTGAGTTCCAAGATTACTAATTGCTCTTTTGTGTGTATGTGGGACACACTCTTCCACACGGCGGGTGCCTGTGTGTGTGTTTGTGTGTGTTGGTGTGTGTGTGTCCATAAATTAACACCGAATTATGCATTTGCCCTGTGCTGGCGTCTAACAACGTAAAGACTTCAATGGCAACCATTGGCTTTGCGGTTTCTCACTGCCTGCAGCGGCGTTTGCTAGCAGTGTTTGCTTTATGGCTGCGCCGCTATTATCTGCTCGGCGTAGGTGGCAACACAAATGACAGCTGTTGATTGCTCACAATGCCTGCTGATATGCTTAAGTGATATTTCTGTGGAAATTCCAGCTCTTCTTAGTATTCCAGCTGCTGTACTGTATTGCAGTGTTGAATTGTTGTTTGAGATGTTGTATTTTGAAGTGCGCGTAGTGGAAAGGAAATTAAACGCTACTTTGCCAAAGAGCTTTGGCTTTGAGTTCGGGGATTGCATAAATCTGGTTTATCGGAAAATAAGATTTTTTAGTATTCTGCCGAGCTCGTTATAATGAAATTTATTAGCCAACCCTCTCAAATTCGGCCAACATACTTCAGTAAACAAAATTTGTTGCATATTTTTGGGGGATACTTTTTATTCTATTTTCTGAGGGCTTTAGAGTGCTTTGAGTAACATTTTTTCTAAACAAACTTTTCTATACAATAATTTTCCGGAACATTCTAATTCTCTAACGGCTTTCCAAGTATGGTTTTCGAGTTAATTCCCATAGAAAGAGTCAGAACGGCACATAAATTTAGGTTAAAGTGTTACACAAAGTTTTTTCTCGACAAATTTTCTTATAAAATTATTAACTTTTTATTTGATTCAAGACGTACAGGGTCATCCTTTTGGCGTTCTCTAAAGTAAACGCAAATAAAATGCATTTAAAATATTTTTTTTTTATTGAAATGTGAAACATTACATCACCCGAATGACTGCCTAGCAGATTTTTGTAAACTTTTAACATTTGAGGTAATTTTCAACCACTTTCTGGCAAATATTGGATGGTATCTCAGCTTTAATTTGGCGAATGTTGGTTTTCTAGTGCTCAAGAGTTAAAGTTTTATCGGCATAAAGGCGTTTTTTGCGTAGCCTCATATGAGCAAGTCCAACTGGATCGAATCATCCGATATCGGTGACCAATTGACACCGCCAAAACGAGTGATTACGTCGGCTCTAAGATTCTCTCACAATAAAGCAATATTCGCTCACGTTGTATGGTACCATCTTGTTGAAACCACCTATTGCCTCAGCCTTCTTCCTCGGTTACCTTATGACCATTATGCACCGAATCGACAGTGACAGTCTCGCCCGTCTTCAGAGCAGTATGGCCCAATCAACAGCAGACATTAAGTTTTTTTGGAGTTGTGAGTGTGATGGTCTCGCTTAACTTATCTGAGTATTCTCGAAGAAAATTGCGAAGATTTTGTTAATTTAAGTAACTCCCAAGTGAGAAATGTAGCTCATCGCGAAAGAAAATTTATTGATCCAGCAACCANTTATTTGATTCACGACGTACAGCGTCATCCTCTTGGCGTTTTCTAAAGTAAACGCAAATAAAATGCATTTAAAATATTTTTTTTATTGAAATCCTCTTTTTATTTTAAAGTTTCAGTTTGGCATATGTGAAATATTGTATCACCCGAATGACTGCCTAGCAGTTTTTTTGTAAATTTTTATCCATTTGAGGTAATTTTCAACCACTTTCTGGCAAATATTGGATGGTATCTCAGCTTCAACTTGGCGAATGTTAGTTTTCAAGTGCTCAAGAGTTAAAGTTTTATCGGCATAAATACGTTTTTTTGCGTGGCCTCATATGAGCAAGTCCAACTGGATCGAATCATCCGATCTCGGTGACCAATTGACACCGCCAAAACGAGAGATTACGTCGGCTCTAAGCTTCTCTCACAATAAAGCAATATTCGCTCACGTTGTATGGCACCATCTTGTTGAAACCACCTATTGCCTCAGCCTGCTTCTTGTGTTACTTTATGACCATAATGCACCGAATCGACAGTGACAGTCTCACCGGTCTTCAGAGCAGTAAGGTCCAATCACACAGCCGACATTAAGTTTTTTGGAGTTGCGAGTGTAATGGTCTCGCTTCACTTACCTGAGTATTCTCGAAGAAAATTGCGAAGATTTTGTTAATTTAAGTAACTCCCAAGTGAGAAATGTAGCTCATCGCGAAAGAAAATTTATTGATCCAGCAACCAGTCGACGTATATACCTCCTTGTGAATAATCAGCTGGCATCAGTTGTTTTGTGAGCTGAACTTTGGATGGATGTAGGTGCAAGTCCATGATGTGCCGTAAGAAAGTTCCGGTTCTTGGGAGCGTCGATAAATTGAGACATTCAGACTTTGGCTGCCATTATGGTATCGGTCATCGGTTATCGGTAACTGATACGATTGCTTGAGCAGTTGGACGATTGTGTGGGCCTTCATCTCTTCTTAAAGCGCGAAGCGAAGCTTGAATCGACATTTTTGTAGAGGACTTTAACTATTTTAACGAGTTTTGCGTTTATTAAGCAATCCATTTTCATGATTTTTAACCAAAACAAAACCTGTTTGGTTTCAAAGTTAAGTTTCACAGATATCAAAATGCAGCCGTGCACTTATGAAACAACGAAATGGATAACCCTATATTTTATATTTTAATTTTATTTAGCTCTACTTAATTTTTTTATTAAATTTAGGTCGATTTAATTGAAATTAATTAATTTTTGTTTTAGGAGATTTTATTTATATTTCAATTAATTTTATTTAATTGGCTTTTATATGAATTAAAATACACCGATGTAGTACTTATTTTTTATTATATTTTTTCAATTTATTTAACAAATTTGGTTTAGGTGAATAATATTTTCCCATTATTTTTTTAAGTTAATATATTTCTTTAACTTTATTAGGTTTTTAAAA